TTAAGAAGAGCGGGTGTTTTTGTGAAGACTGTGGAGGACAAGCCTCAGGCTGCTGATTGGGCATTGAAGAGGCAAATGCACCATTCTATGAGCCGTGGGATTGACTGGTTGTTCTTGGTTTCGGACGATTCAGATTTTTCGGAGATGTTGAGGAAGGCTAGAGAGGCCAACTTGGGGACTGTGGTGGTGGGGGATTTTGACAGAGCTTTGGGAAGGCACGCGGATGTTTGGGTGCCTTGGATTGGGGTCGAAAATGGGGAGGTTTCAGAGAAGGATTTGGTACCCAAAAGGAGGAGAAGTGAGTTCTTTGATGAGGATGATGATGATAAGGGTGATGGGTTGTTTTCGCATTCGGGTTTCGATGGTGGCAGTGAATTGGACAATGTGGTTGATGAACTTGTTGTTACTAGGTCCCTGTCTAGTGGAATGAGGATTTCGGCGTTTTCGGAAGGGGAATTGGAAGAAGGAGATTGGGTGGAAGACGATGGGGATAGTGAAGATAGTGAGGACTATTTGCTGGATAGTGAGGACGAAGAAACAGATGAGGAAGATGGATTTTTTTGATTTGGCAAACTTAGTTGGTTGTTGGATCAGGCATGTGATTGAACTGATACTTTGAGGCCATTTTGATTCAATTGTGGCACTGGTTTAGTTTTTTTCTGAGGTTGAGAAAATATGCATTGGGGTGTATAGGAATATACAAGGAGATGAGGAAGCTAATTGGTTATTCATGGCAAGGATGCACTTGGTTTTTTTCACCATGTAAAGTGTTTATAATTTCTTCATTTCAGAATTCACAGGATATGTATGGCCAGAATTTCCTTCTTCATCATACGCAATTTGAAGGTTCCAAATTTCTTTCGTTTACATTTCCTTTAGCTTAGTATGAAATGAATACTAGTGCTTATGGTTCTGCCCTAATAATTAGTAATCCACTAACTAAATTCTATCACAATTAGCTATCTATGTTTATTATAACATTGCATTTCATTTGTTGTTTGAGCTTTTGAATCACGCTTATTCTTAGACATGCCATTTTGTGGGTTATGGATACTTAGAATTATACAATTGCAATAGATGGCTGATCAGTTGCATTTTACCAACTGCAGGCATTTCCATTTCCCCTCAAACCCACAGTTTTTTATTTATTTTTTCACTGAAGTTTCTTTTGCTAATTAGATAAAGATAAATATTATTGGGATGATGTTGTCAAATGCTTTGTATGTACTGGTTTCAAATGTTGTTCCTTCTCCATATCTGGAATCACTTGGAAGTACATACATACAATTGTTGTAATAACTAAAACCTGGAATTATTATAATTTTGCTGGGACAGAAATTGGATACCTAATCACATTACACTTTGATAGATCGTATACTTTGTAAGAGCCTACATGCACATACAACAATTCCTTTCTCTTCATAGAAGCTTCATTCAACATTATAGATTGAAAGACCCTACATCTATATAGTTTGAGTTTTAACTTGTTTTCGTTGTTAGGGGCAACTCTAGTGTAGCAGCCAAATGGCATTTCTATATTTCAAGTATGAAATTTTGATACTGATATGCAAACACTGATAGTTCCTTCCTACAATTTGGTTAATTGTGTGGTGTGCCAAAACAATGTCATGGAATTCTATCATCATGAAGGCTTGGTGATCGTAAATAGGCGCCAATGTTGGGGTTGCAGATGGCTTTCTATGAATGTTCTTTACAGGTATTCATCATTCCCGAGTAGCAGAAGGCCTTATCAGCCTGGTGGAGGTTTCTGGCCATAAGCTTCTGGATCCTAATACAGAGGTCAGATCAGTTAATCAGCAATTTATTTGGAACAAGCGTAAAGATTTTCGATACTATAGTTTGTGTTGTAAGTTGACTCTGTGAACTGCTCTGTAATTAGTAGCCATTTCATTTGGAATAATAATAATAATAATACAAAGGTCATGCTTCCCATGAACGCATAAACTGTTTTTTTGTTAATTTTGTTAGTGATTGAATGTTATAATAGTTATAAGTATGATTATGATATGCTTAAATGACAAGCAAGATATTCCTGTCCATGACAGAAACGGATATGCAGTCAGAGACAACCTGAAGAAACCCCAACGAGACAAATATTACAATTATTTAAATAATATTTTCTGGTGTTTTCACGTTATTATTGTTTTGGGAGGAGGCAATATCCATTGTTTTTTTCCCATTAGTTTCTTTGCTGCCGACTGAAGTTGGCGAGCCCCACGTCCCACTATATAAATTCTCTCTCTCAAATAAAAAATAAATAAAAAGTAGGCAAACTTGTCCACGTCGCCCGATGTGTTTCGTTTCTAAATGCCAAGAACTTTGTCGACAGCCAAAAAATAGAATTTAAAATAAGAAGAAGATTGTAATAAATAACATATGCGTCTTTCTTGATGTCCATTTAGGCGAAAGCTTAAACTTGAAGTTTTCCATATTTCTCGTCGTTTGCTCTGCTTTTCCAACCACCAAAACGAAAACGATAATGAATGAATGGATGGATGCAATGAAATGAAATGTCATTTCATCTTATAAAATTAACTTTGGGCATCCCATGGAAATTGGAATTTTGTAACCTCGTCCTCCGTTGGTTGTATGCCGGGTGCCTAAGAAAAAACATCGTCCCATGGCCCATGATATCTTTGTATTTCATTTGTTTTTTTCTAGTGACACAATAATCTAATTTTGTTCTCAGCTGGTGGTGGGGGACTTGCGTATGGCCCATTTTAACGGTTAAGATTCGTCGCACCCTAGTATTTATGGGCTTCTACATTAGGGCCTAGAACAACCCAAACAAAATATTTATTTATTTCTTTTTTAAAATCTTTTATTTTTTTAGAAGACTTTTTAATATATATTAGTACCGATCTCTTGGGGTCCAAGAGATTGTGGTCACCCACTGTTGGATATTAATCCAACGGTTCAAAAAAGTTTCTTAAAATGAGTGCAAGAGTGAGTGAACTGTTAAATTTACATCTAACGGTAAGTGACCACAAATCTCTTGAACCCCTGTAGTCCAAGAGATCGACTGATATATATATATACTATCAATAAGTTATGAAGGTTTGAACCTAAAACTACTATTCTGCAAATAAGAGTATTTTCCACTTGAATAGATCCCTTTGGCTTTTCAAGAAAACTTTAGTATCTAAAACTTGAAATAAGATAAAATAAAAAGGAAGTCTACAGGTTGGAATTTGGCAGGGTAGCTCAAAGCGTCGTGGTGCCTTCTCCAACTGTAAATATGAGATATGAATGAGTGACAGATAATACCTCATTCCACTGCTGTTGGGATTATATTTTATTATTTTATGTAGTAAGGCGGTGCCATTGCACCCTCAAACTTTTTCATGGCGTTGAAGTCAATATTCAATTTGACCACCCCGCAATAATTATCCACAAGCCACTGCACACCTGACACGTATCTAAAAAATCATGTCTTTTTAGGTGGACCCTGCCATTAGCTAGCCTATAATATTATAAAACAAAATTTTGTGGAGGCAGTATTTTGGAAATTATAAAAAAATGGAATTTTAATAATCCATCAATTAAGATTAATAAAAGAAACATTACTATATAGAAAATAAGCAAGAGGTCTTTGGGGGAAATAACTTGAACCGAACTGATTTTATAGTTATCAACTCTATCTTTTTCCTATTTTCTACAATTCCACTTGTTGATGTTGCCATCTGTCTATATCCATCACCGACCTCTATGGCCACCTCTTTCATGGTCCTGATTGTCACTTTTAATCGCAAGTGGCAACAAACAAGTTGAAAAATAAAAAAATAAAGCAAAACCAAGTGTGAAGAAGAGAGAACAAGGATCTTTTAGCCCTCATTTAAAAAACCAAAAAAAGAAGAAGGTATTTTTAGTTAAAGTAGTTAAGGGTATTTATCTCGGTATCATGAGGTTTTAAGTTTGATTTCTCATTCTCTCAATATTGATTGTAAACAAAAGAACCGTGTGAAGATATCGTAAGCCTGTTAAGATAGTATGTTCACTCCTTTACATCCAAATTCAATCTCATTTCCTTATATTAGATAGAGTAATTAGAATATATAAAAAGAGTGAAGAAGAAAAACTTTTTTTTAAACTTATGTTAAATGTCGATGGCCAAAAGTGATTTTTTTGCCTAAAAAGAGAGTTAAAAAAAAGGAGATTCACTATTATATCCAATATAGGAGCCCAAATTACAAATAAATAAATAAACTCTATATGAAATGGATTATAGAAACACACCAAAAGCCTATTTACAACATAAAAAAAATGCTTTTAACTTCTTTTAAATTACAAAACTGTCATTGATTTCTTAAAATAAACATAACCCCAAAACCTCATAAAAAAAAGCCCAAAACACTCAATAGGGCATCAAAGTAATTTAATAATCAAAATTAAATTCAATAGCTAACCCCAAAACCTCATAAAAAAAAAGCCCAAAACACTCAATAGGGCATCAAAGTAATTTAATAATCAAAATTAAATTCAATAGGACCAGCTGTCATCTTTTAGATTTGTTTATAGAAATTAAATGGTATAGGGTTTATCTATATTATTAGTGCTAAAAATGGGTAGATAACTAAATTTCTTTTAAAAAAATTTGATAGAAATTGAGAATTGTCCTTGAATTGCTTCAAATTGAAACCACAGGGAAAAAAATTGACCAAATTAAAATGAAATGGACCAAAATATTAAAAGTGATAAACTACAAGAACTAAAAATGACTTTTTCAAAAAAAATAAATAAATAATTAGTGAAGAAGAAAGATCCAACAACAGCATGAGTATGGTCCAGTTATTTCAGTTTGACAAACAAAACCTGAGCTCACAAAATAATGTAAATTTGTAGTTTGTGCTAAGCGGATTGCGTACAAGAGGTGTAAACATCCATCCACGTCGGCTCTCACATGACAAAGAAAACCGCTTACGTGGGTCCCAGTTTTGCATAAAAAATAAACTACAAAATGCCTTTTCATACTCACGAAAGGAGAAACAGAAGAGAAAAACGAGAGGAGAAAGACGAGAGAGAAGATAGTATAAAACGTAGCGTTTTAGACAGAGAGCTGAGTAAGAACTAAGAAGGGGAGGGAGGGAGAGAGAGAAAGGGTGGGAGCTGATGGAATATGTCGGCCATTTTTGGATTTATCTTCAAGATACATCAACGTGGCGGCCGTGCCCAGACGACAGACTAGCAGCCAAGTACGAAACTATCCATCTTTATGCCCTCTATCTGTTTGTATATATTTCCCTGTGAATATAATATAACCTTTGCTCTCAGGAATTTCAAGTGTTTTCTGATTATTTTCATTTGGGTTTTTTCGTTTTTGTGTTTTGGGATTATTTAGTTTCTAAAGCAACCACAACAACAAGAACATCAGCAGATTAAAAGGGTTTGGATTAATATTAGGTAGCTTCTAACTTTTCTCGGGATGGAAGGAGAGTATTGTTGTTCTTCATCTTCTTCGTCTTCAACAACCACAACAACAAGCATAGAGAAGCGCAAGCAGAGGCAAAACCAGCAGCAACAGCAACAAGTAGGAGGCAACCATGATCATCGTCATCAAGAAAAGCAATACAGAGGGATTAGGATGAGGAAGTGGGGAAAGTGGGTGGCTGAGATTAGAGAACCCAACAAGAGGTCTCGAATCTGGCTTGGTTCTTACACGACGCCGGTTGCCGCCGCCCGAGCATACGACACCGCCGTTTTCTACCTCAGAGGCCCTTCTGCGCGCCTCAACTTCCCGGAACTTGTGTTCCAAGAAGACGGCCAGCAGCTACACGACATGTCGGCCGCTTCGATACGAAAGAAGGCTACGGAGGTTGGGGCAAAGGTCGACGCCGTCGAAACTGCTCACCGCTCACCAATATCGCAGTCGAAAACGACGTCGAGCCTGGTGAATTCCCAGAAGCCTGATTTAAATAAGTATCCCGACCCAGAAAACTCTGATGAAAATTAATTGAAAAAAAAAAAGAGGTCTTTAGAGAGATATGAGGCTGATCGATCACCAACTGTTTATATTATTTTCTTAATTTCTAGCTCTCTTTTTTTTTTCTTTTATCTTTTGAGTTCTTATATTTATATATTTATATTCATGATCATAGTTGATCATCACTAAGCTAGTCTACGTGTGAAATAAGTGAAAATATAGAGAAAATAGAGAGACGAGAAAGGTATTCTTGGGTCTGTTTCAAAGAACAGAATCAAAAGGGTTCTGTTTGATTGGTATAGTTTCTCTTTCTCTTCAATTGTAACATCAACAACAAACCAGCTGAAGAGCAAAAGTTCTTAGTTACTGGTCATCAAGGATGACAAGGAGTTCAAATTCATTTCAGTGTTTGCTTTCTTGAATTTTTCCACTCTTGATTTTTATGGTTTGGGCAATCAAGTTATTTTGATATGTTATCTTGCCCAGAAGACAACGTGGTGTTACTGTCACACGCAATAATTTTTCGTTCTCATTTGGGTTTAGAGAAGAAATTTGTTAGGTGTGGATACGGTGGCTAGTGCAGCTTGCTTTGCTAGGGCAATTGGTGTTTTGGGCCCCCCAAATTTTACCAAGAGAAACAAAACAGAAAGAAAGAAAGCAACATTGGTGTGGCCTACGTTTGGTTACAGTACTGGTACGATCTTGTTGAGTTGCCAAACAAAAAACACAAGTAGATAAGGAGATAAGGAGGAGTTGGGGCACCAAGAAGAAGAACTGCTTGGTGATGACGTGCTTGTGGTGTGAAGTATGATGAAGGAGAAAGCAAGATGGTCCTCCTCAATCAAATAGGTTGTCCCTGTCATTAGACTCACACACTCCATATTTTGGTGGAAGCTTACGACATAGTGTTTGTGTGTGTGTGTGTGTTTTTTTTTTCTTGTTGATGATGATGATGGATGATGGACGGTGTGGACGGTGAACCCTTTCTTTTTTTTTCTTGTTTTGTATTAGAGGTGATTAATGAATAATTAGTAATATATTAATCTTGGGCCGTGATCTGTATGGAGACCAAATTAAAACTGAGTTTATGATATGTGTGGAACGATTCTATTTTCTCTTTTGTTGCCAAAATCTGCGGCTGCCCAACTGTATCTTGTAATCAAATTTTGACTTTTTCTCTTTGTTTTAATTTCTTATTGGAATAAAATTAATCTACGGTATTTATGGATCTTGCAGGGCTTGTCATAGTTTCCCTTCATCTTGATTATAAATCTGCTTAGATTGTCTTTTTGCCAAATGATTAAATCGTACTTACTATATTAAATCTTAAATATAAATCTCATGAAGCGTATGACTTCCAAGAAATCTTCGTCATTCTTTCTTTGAAGTTACCATATGACTATTGTTTATTAAAATCAAAGTTCACTAGTTTTTTAATCCACAGATGCTTTTGTGGGTAATTATCTATTGGCGGTGGGATGTCTTAGTCAAAAGATTTGACAGAAATATTACTATCAAAAGTTCATGAGCTCTAAATTAGCGTAATTTTCGCTTTAAGTAACCCGGTGAAGTGGAGGGGAAATTTTCATATTATATCGTCAAATTCTCAATCTAAATTATTGATTAGATGAATTATTGTCTTTAACACGTAATGTTAGATTGCCGGGGCATGTAAAATTACTGAAAAATTAGTTCCTGCAAGAATATTTTTAAACTGGTAATGCCAAGTTCTGCTTAAACCTGATTATGGTATGTCTTTTATAATATCTCATCTTTCCTTCTCCATTCGAAATGCCTCACCACATAACCTGACTTTATAGAAAAGGGGCATTTCGGTGGCGTGTGTAGCCAGATGACAGGGTCTCCTTTACAGATAAACATGCACTTTTTGATTCATAAAACCACATTTCTATATAAAAAAGCTCAATTTGCTTCTCAATAAAAAAAACACCATTGCATCCAAAACAAATATCTTTAAAACCATGACAGAATGAAAGAATGATTTAAGAATTTCTTCAAACCCTAATCACTCTGGAATTTCTGGTTTGTTAACTCAAGAAATGAACCTTCCTTCACAAGTAAAAACCAAACCCAATCGAATCCCAAAGATATTGAGATCTTTTGTTAGATGAAGTACTTCAGCTATGTGGCAAAAAGAAGATAGTGCTTTCCCACCAACAAAAGCTAAGACTAAGAGGATCATATAATAATATTCATTTGGCCTTCAACAGTCTAGACTTGTCCAAAGTCCAAACAAAAGCTCACAGCCTTATGTCCAATCCAATCCAAGGATTAAGTGATTGAGAGATAAGTGTGTTTCCTATCTGTGGTGTTGGATATCTTTTTTAACTGTCACAAGGAAAAGTGAAAAAGAAAGCTGCAATTTGCAATTTTTTATCCAAAATGTTGCAGTCAAAATATAGCCTCCTCATCACCTGAAATATGCAAAGGGCCAGTTTTTGAGCATTGACTCTTTTTAAAAAAAATAAAATAAAATAAAATGTCACAGCGACCCATTCCTCACAGTAATGCAAGCTAGCAAGCTACAAGTTAGAAGTTAAGAAGCAGCAGAAAGATCTGAATACAGAAAATGACCCCAAGAGAGTGACAGAAACTAAGTGCCAAACCTTGAACACACTAGAACTCGAAAGAATCAGCATATGCCTGTTCCTATCAACTTCTCCTTAACATCCAAGGCAATCAATACACAACAAACTGACAAAACCAAGTATAAGGACACACCATCTGTTTTGAGGTATTTTCATCTTCAAGATTTCATGGTGGAGCTTTGTCCATGAGCAGTTCAAAATTCCATGGGTGCATGAAACATTAATTACGTACGAGGACTTTTCTATAAGATATATTTTTTTTTACACCAAAAAAAATAAAAAAAATGGACCATTTCTTGATTTATGCGCGTCATCCTTGCGTAAGGACCATGCTAATCTTTTTTGTATTGTTCCAATTTTATTGGATGTACCCGGAGGGGACTTCTATAAGAAAATATTAAAGGGGCCTTAAAGACGTAAAGATGAAAATGGCACAAAAAAAAAATTGGATAGTGGAAAGCAATTAGCCATTAGCTGTGAACTGATGAGCAGTGTCCACAGGTAAAGATGAAAATGGCACAAAAAAAAAATTGGATAGTGGAAAGCAATTAGCCATTAGCTGTGAACTGATGAGCAGTGTCCACAGCAGAATCAGAATTGTTTTTTCTTTTTTTTGAAGCCTCAATTGTTGTTTGCCACTCGAATGTGTGTCCGGATAGATAGTGGATGGTGAATCAAAGAATCCTGAGAAAAGACAAGGCACCTTGTCATCCTAGCTGACCAAATTTTGTGAATTTACAGAAAACTTTGACATGATCTTTAAATCACTGAGAGCTTAAGCCATTATTTTATTTCATGTTCAACAAGTAAAACGGAAAAATCAAGATTATTGTGGACATATTAGCTACGGTGCACATGGTTCAATTCAATTCAATTCATCAATTCTGAAAAAGTAAAATGCAGAAACAATGCATGTGCCATAATTTATAGTAGCAGTCAATGTACGTAACAAATTTAAACACCATGAATTTGTCTACAGCCAACAAAATTAGACTTTGAATATATATCCATATACCCATAAACCAATCATCATCATCATCACACGGCTCTAGTTCACGTGTTGGTTGAATGAAAAGCATTAGATACAATTAAATTATTACAGCAAAAATTAAATAAATAATTGAAAACGGGTGTAGGCCTGGAGACTATCGACCCAACAAAACAAACTGAGAATATTTGATGCCCAAATGAACTCCAAGACAAGACCCCACATAATTCTCACTGTATCAAACGTTAAGTATTTCATGATTTGGGCCTTGCATTGGTTCTTCATTAATTCCATCTTAAGACAAGTCCTTGCAAACCTCAACATACTGTATGCCTACTGTAACTAAACAAAGTTTCTTATAGGAAAAAAAAAAGTAGAACATAGGGTTTTCTTCATTGTGGGTTTGGTAAGTTTTGTGTACTTTGTTTCATATGGTTCGACTGTTCGCTTCATAGGCTCCGGATTCATTATGTTCTAGTTTTTGTTCATGGAGTCCAATTTTTTGATTCATTTTCTTCATTGGGTTGAAATTTTTGTTTTATTAGGTTCAGTTTTGCTATGCAGTGTAAAAGACTTTTGGTCGACCAAAACAAGAAGCATGTGAGCAGCTCCATTCATGCGAAATTCATTCAACTAATGGACGAGGGGCACGTGGCATTTGTAGGACGTCTAATTGGACATTGATTTCAGACGCTTTAAGAAAAGAGTGTGACAACTGCACAGTCGCATATGGAGTCTCCAAGGAGAAGAAGAAGATGACAGAGAAAGAGACTTTTTGCAAGACACAGAGAGAGAGAGAGAGAGAGAGAGAGCTGTCAAAATATTAACTCTTCGAGAGTTTGTGCAAAACACCAACACCGCAAAGCTAGCGGAGAAAAAGAAAGAGAAAGAAAGAGAGGTTAAAAAACAAACCCAATGGAAGAAAAAGAAAAAGGGGGAGGGAAAAAAGAATATATGAAGAAAAGTTTGTATAGTGAGGATCTTTCAGTGCCATCAATTCAATTAATTGTGTTTGGACTGTCATCCATTTACTTCTCCCTCCCCCATACAAAACTCACTTTCCCTACACATTTGCACCCACTTTCCCTTACATGGCACGACCATTCTCACCATGCGATCATGTTCTTCATCCCACCCCCCTCAACTTTCTTTCTTCTTTCTCTCTTGAGAGGAAAATTTATATAATATATATATTTTGAAAAAGATAAAGGAGGATGAAAAAGAAACACTGCAGATCCATAAAGTCATGAGCTCAGTGTGTATAAAGATGCCCCATCTAAATCTAGTTGGGAATATATTTCAATCCCAACAATGATGGCTTCTCCAATTCTCACTTTATTTGGCACAATAGAGATAGAGAGAGAGAGAGTGGAAGGTTTAGTCAGTGACATTTGCATCGATCACAACAATCCCTTTCCATCAATTTCCAAGTTAAAAAGGCTTCCAACCCTAGATGAGGAATAGAAAATCTAAAGTCATTAAGCACAAAAGTAGCTGACACATGACCTTTATCTATCACTACTCTAGATAACAAAGATAAAAACGAAAACAAAGCAAAAGGAAAGGGTGGTATAAACAAAAAACATGTAGCAATATAACTAGTTAATAAACCAAACTATATATTAATGCATTCCTCTAAGGCCCCGTTTGGTTCATGGGAAAGGAGACTTGGGAATGAGAATTCAATTCCTTTCCCATGTTTGGTAAGTCCGGCATGGGAAATGGATGCCTTGCACATGGGAAAATATGGGGTAAAGTGATGCCCTTCTCTTAACTTGGGTTTTGGTTTCCCTCCTCATGGGAATGTTTGGGAAAATGAGCCAACATTCAATGCACAATTTTCATGACTATTTTGTCCCTATGAACAATTTATAATTACAATGTATCACTAAATGCATTCTTTTTTTTATTTGATTTAATATGGATATAATTGGAAAATTATACAAATTTTGTTTTCCATTCCTACTCAAAACAAACATGGGAAAGGAAACAAAGTGAAATCTCCCGGTTACTTTCCCAACATTACCAAACGTCGGAAAGGAATCTTTCATTCTCATTCCTTGGGAAATGACATGGGAATTGATTTCCCCTCAAATCCATTCCGTGAACCAAACGGGGCCTAAGGGTTAAGGGAAATAGTTTGCAAGTGCATGACAACCATACTGATATGTATATACGTCAATGTATGAGTAACTATCAACTGTTGATGCATTCATTCGTCTACAACTCTTTCATAGAACAGTGGGAGGAAAGAGTTTTGATTTTAAAGCTACAGTTTGGTTTTTAGTGTGAAATAAACAAGAGATTGATGGGAGTTGAATGTGGTCCATTGACACGTGCAAATGATGGCATTGTCTTGGCTAATGATGGATTCCCACCGCTTCTTCCACTGCGTGGGTTCCCACTCCTATCATGCCACCCAACTTCATCACCCCAATTTGTTTGCATCTTCTCTTTTTCTTTGACCGACAAAATAACCCTTCAAATCAAATTATTTAAATCAATCTTGTGCTACATAATTATTTAAGAAACTCATTATTCTTATGCCCATCTGATCTGATCTGTGATCTGATCAGTATATGTTTTCATGAATTGGGATGTCCGCAGATCATAATAATAATAGTAATAATGCTTGATTGGATGTGACATTTTTGGCCAATATCAATGGAGCATCATGCATCCTGCTGGCCCTTCATTTGGTAATTCAAAGAAAAGCTTTCGAGAGATAGTCGTTAAAAATAAGGCCAATCGTTTTGTTTGTTGGGAAACATTATCGATGCTACGTGTTCAATTTCATTGCTTCTTCAAACGTAAGGCCCACAAATAATTCAAATTATTAGCTTGACAAGTTTGAAGGGAAAATGTCCTAATCCTGTGTTAACTAATTTCTTTGCTTAAAATATCTGCAGCAGAGCAGGAGGGTAAAATTTAAAAGGTTTAATGAGTGGTCCTTGTTACTTGCATGCATGTAATTATCTAAAGCAACCTTAAAAATAGTAATTTTTGGTTTTATGGATCGACATAGAACGGGTTAGGTGCAGAATGATGGAAACCTACCTAAGTAGGAAGTAGGAGCAGATTTATGTTAAGTGAGGAAATTATTTATGTTGTCGTGATTGAAGGGAGCTGATAGGATGTAATGATACAAGAAATTTATATATATATATATGCTTACGTGTGAGTCATGTGTTAGCTAATAGCCATTAGCTCATAATCTTTTAATTAATTTCAACCATGGTATGATTATCGCACGCATATACGTCAAAGTAGAATGACAAGTGTCCAATGAAATTACAAGTAATTGGTCACCTCACCTTTCAAAAACGATCTTCCACTTGTGGGAGTATCCAATTTTCATTTTTCACCATGCAAAAGTACACACAAACTTACCTCTTCTGTCACTCTTATTTTAGCCACCACATAGTACAAGTAAATATTCCTATCTAGCTTACAACTTGCTTCCATGGAATAATTCAATTTTGTTTTCATCAAATCATAAACAAGAGGGTCAAGAGGGTCAGGCTCAATGTCCCCTGATAAGGGCTAATTAGAACTAGTCCCTAAATAAATTATGATTTTTATTTTATTTTATTTTATTTTAAAAAAAACCAGTGCATCTTGATTTTTCATATTACTTACTAATTATAGTCATTAATAATGTAATTTTTGACTTCTCACTCTTTACAGCATTAATTGTACTTAATTCAAAAATAACAATTTTACACAATCACTGAATACTAGTCAATACTGCCAAAATGTTTTCAAGATAATGGCATTTCCAGATTGCTAATGTATCATTAAAGATAAAGTCATTCAATCATATGTATTATATTGATGTTGATTATAATAATATAGTATAATGTCTTAAATATGAATCTTTCCACTTGTCCCATGTATATTGGATGGTACACTTTAAACATGGGGTTCGCTTTCATGCAACGGAGATATCACTTTTTGCTATACCCTGCCAATAACGCAAAAGATAACTTTTCCACGTGTTATATTGGCCAGGGATAGCAAAACAGTGTTATCCATATTGCAAGTAAGTTTTTCTGCTTAATTTCATATTTTTTTTATTATCTATCTAGAAACCCTTCCATAAAAAGGAAAACGATTTCTTGAGCTAATTATATGGTCTTTGTTGTATCGGAAGGAATCTAAGCGATCTTAATCCTAACATATGTATCTGGCAATTTCAACCTAGCACGACTTTGAGGAGCGATAAGAAATTTAATAATAAAACAATTAGTTCATGTAATGAAACTGTCGTATGTTGGAGAATGGCTAAAGTGCAGATTTGGTTGAGATTTGTTGTCCATGTTAAAGTCCACCGCGAGTTCACAACAACGAAATTAGCTGGTCCGCAAATTAAACCGAACATGGTAGCTTAAAGTTTTTCTCATAATCTAGTAGTAACTATTAAAGTTAATTTGTCCATATTTATAACCCAGAAACAAAATGTCACACGTACGGATAAAGCACAGTAAAACAAGTGTTGCATTACTCACAGGAAATGTGAATGTGAATGTTAAAACTACAGAAATTTCATGCTGTTTTTGAGTTTTGCAGCGAAATTTTGTTTCAATTTTAGTGTTGCTTTTGAATTGCACATAATGATGCAGCTTTTTTGCAAATAGAAGCTGGGTAATTACCACAAGGGGGAAATCAGCTTAACTAATTCCCCTCCAAGCTGATTCATCCAAGACTTTTACTTCAAATTATTTTTTTTAATTAAAAAAACAGAAAGAAAATTCTTCACATGTAGTCTAATTAAGGTTGGGAGATAAGGGAAGAGTGTCACATCATGCAACCGATCTTGGCACATGAACCCTAATTTATAGGGGATTAAGAAAGATTTTGTCGACATCGGTGCATAAAATTAACATAATATTATTTGTCATGCTCATGCTAATGCATGCCTCATTGTCATTGCCTTTAATTTCAATTATATATATCCACATTCACATTTGGTATTGTTTCTAATACCAGCTTAGCTTAAGGGTACGGACTGACTTTCACTAACCTAATTGCATGATCAGAACAATAGTGTTTTTTTTGTTTTTGTTTTTTATGAACAAGAGTTGAATATTCTCTGCAGTTGTTGTGCTTTTGCAGAGCAGTGACACTGACACAGTTCATGGTAAATCGTTTTTCTGGAGAAACATGGCTTCCACGACGTACGCGTGTTGTTCCAAATCCACATAATTAAAGCACTGCAAATAATGTCTCTGAAGCATATTCATTCATACAAGAAAGAAACTAGATTTCATTCACAAACTCCGTACTTTTTGGGCCCTCATGCAACATCAAATTAATGGAACTTCGTCTCAACCGCATGCACACGCAGGTGTCTGTGATCATGATTCTTGACTGTACACGTGTAATGTGTTCCTAGCTGAATCAAGTATATCTCTGCCCAATCGACCACACGTGTAATGCTCAATTACCTACTCTCCAACAATTAACTGTGTGCCTGATTGACCGCAGTAATTAACTAGACCCCCCCTGCCTGTAAAGCCAGTTAATCAATTTTACCCTAAACTCATCATTCTATGCTGGACTGGGAATTTATAGTTCACCACACATCCAAGCATTTATAAAATCGTATATACACATAAGATATATATATATAAGAAGACGTATATGCAGAAAAAGGGTTGGTTATTGGTTAATCCGACGACCTAGTCCTTTTGTATAGAGATGCTCGTCTAATCTTCTAGATCTTGTTCTTTCATCAATAAAATTTTATCGCTTTGATTATTAAAAACAAATCGTATAGATATATAAATATATTTATACAGGAAATGTTCCTCCCTCCTATTGGGTCTGGTGGTGTCAAGGTATTGGCAAACAAAAATTGAATTTGGGCAGAAAGTGGGGGTGGGAACTTGTGAGGGTTTTATTTATTTATACAATTTGGGAAAATGGAACTACGTACAGTTCCCGAAAGAAAGAGCCAAAAGGATATATTGGCTATTTGGGTGTGGCTTGGCATGCAGTGAGTCAGATAGGGATAAGATTGGTTAGGTTGGAGTTGTGTGTAAGTTTTTTCAACGTTGTATACGACTAAAAGAGTGAAAATTAAGACTTAGATACGACGGCATTCATTCATATTGAGTTCAGTTGTTTTGGTTATATTTGTTTATATGATATGTCGTATCTTGAAATTTGAAAAGCAAAGGGCATGCAAATGGCAAAAGGGCAAATGGCAAAAGGGCAAAGGCTAGTTCCCATTTTCAAGTTTTGGGATTGGAGGAATCTTTTTTCTTTATATTATTATTCTCCTCCCTCTTATGAGCCCCCTCGCTTTATAGTGAAAAAAAGCTGGAGAGAGAGCCAAAGAGGCCACCGAAAAGCATGGACACCTTATCATGAAAGCAAGAAAAAAACGACCCGATTTGACGGGCCAACCCAAACGCATATACACACAGCTTAGCTACACACCCACACGCTCATAGCTAGCTAAGCCTTCACATACTCATACTCTCATCTCTCATACATATTGTTGCTTTGCTTGCCCTATTAATTATTGTCTCTCTCTGCTTTCTCTTTTTTCATATTTTTTTAGTGTGGAAAATCCCAAGTCAACCGCACCTCATCATTTGGTCTCGCTTGTTCCAAGCACCACCTCATTTCCCACTTTGTCACCTTTAATTCTCTGATATCATGAGCTTCTGTGTTTGTGTTCGGCCCTCCCTATATAATTGCTGCTTTACCTCTATCATTCAGCCCAACACCACCCACCACATATGGGAATAAGCAGCATGAAGGTGCACCAGTTCGCACGTGGACTCTGGGAACACGAACCCTCCCTCACTCTTGGCTGCACCAAACGCCTACGCCCTCTCGCTCCCAAACTGGCCAACACCACCGCCAGCGACACCACTACCACTGCCCTTGCTCCTTTCGACCTCAAGAGCTTCATCAGACCTGAAAGTGGCCCTAGAAAACTAGGATCCTCTGATCATCAGGAGAAGAAAGATTCCCCCCACCCCCAGGTATGCTAAATTTTTCTTGCAACCATACATTACTTCCATGTCCACAACACGTTATAACTTATAACCAAACATCTAATTGTCACACTGTAAATTTGGCAAACGCATTTTAACAATTATCAATACTTTAGATTTATAGTCTGACAACATATATAGCACATCTCTCCAACGTTAGTAGTTATAATTATAACATGTGTCAAGTATGATGACATTATTAAACAAAAAATGTAAATGGTTTCAAAGAATAATTATTAAGAAAAAGTCTTGATGGTGGTGCAGGTAGAGACGCACCCAGGAGGGACGCGTTGGAACCCAACGCAAGAACAGATAGGGATACTAGAAATGCTGTATAGGGGAGGCATGCGCACTCCTAATGCACAGCAGATAGAACAAATAACAGCTCAGCTTGGCAAGTACGGAAAGATAGAGGGCAAGAATGTGTTTTACTGGTTCCAAAACCACAAAGCACGCGAGAGGCAGAAGCAAAAACGCAACAGCCTCGGCCTCAGCCATTCTCCCAGAACACCAACTCCTGTAATTACCAACGTAAGTTACACTATACTTAGTTACAAAGTTAAGCAGGTTTTCTTCTTCTTTTTCTTGGTTGTTTGTTTGTTTCTAAATTTTGTACATATATTTTTGTTGCAGCTGGGAGAAGTAGTAGGGGAAAGAGAGGAAGATAGTCCGTACAAGAGAAAGTGTAGGAGCTGGGGATTTGATTGCTCGGTAGAAGATAGTGTAGTTTGTAAGGCGGACGAAGTCGTGGAGGGAGGTAGAGGTAGAACTTTGGAGCTCTTCCATTTTTTTTATAAAAAAAACAGCTTGCTAGTGGAATTTGGTGGGATCATGGTCATTAGCTGACTGTATCCATCGATGAGATTAATTAGATCGTAGATAATGGGATAATTATAAACAAACCTTTCCTATTGAGATGAGGGATAATATACTAAACTCACACACATTAAGTACGCAGATGCTAGGACTCGAACCCATAAACTTTCTTGGGAGTCACTAGCTAATTTCAAACTTGTAGTTAATTAGGTTCTTAAAAGTTTGAGGACCACAACCAAACATTCATGGCAGTTGATGATAGTAATCAATCGTACGTTCCCAATCCTAGAATGAAAGTTTGTCTTATGCATGCATGCAACAGCTTTTGAATACATATGCTGGAAGGAGAGCTAATTAGATATATATATTAATTATTGCAACTGATTAACTATAATACAATCGAGTAGATTATCTTAGATGTCCGCTAACACAATATATTGCAACCGGTTTATACAACTATACGCAAGATCTTGATGGGCCACGCATATATTATGGCAATCATGGCAATTCCCACAAGTTGACTCTGCCAATCAACTTTTTTTCTTGGTGTACCTATAAACTTTGTTTATGCATGCATCAAAAGAGTTTAAGAAGGGGCCTGGTCTATCAAAATCCCAAACTTCAAAAAAGAAGGCCAATATTGGTCAACAAGACGCCCGAGTTTTCCAGACATGAAATTAAATCCCAACAATTTTTGTCAGCTATATGAATGTGGTAATGTTTTAGTGCCGCGATTCTTCCAATCATATGACCGCATAAATTGACTTGTCATACATCGATTACTGAGGACTGATCAAACGTGCTTCTTTCATGGACCAAAATTTGTGACGACTAGTGTCTGCGTTACTATGTATGTATCTTTGGAACCAAAAGAAAGTTAAAATATTTACAAATTATTTTTATAATGGGCCAATATTTGTAAAGCTACATAACGCAATAAAGCTATTCATATTTAAGTGTCGGGCTCATCACAAATATATATCACTAGACCAAATGCTAGTTGGTATTCATCTAAACTCTTACTCTCTGTATTGATCAATACAAGAATTCTTTAGTGAGGTATTTCTTAATCATTGGATCAAATTGGATTTCCTATTGAAATGGGGGATAATATACTAAACTCACACACATTAAGTACGCAGATGCGGACTCGAACCCATAAACTTTCTTGGAGGTCACTAGCTAATTTCAAACTTGTAGTTAATTAAGTTCTTAAAAGTTTGAGGACCACAACCAAACATTCATGGCAGTTGATGATAGTAATCAATCGTACGTTCCCAATCCTACAATGAAAGTTTGTCTTATGCATGCATGCAACAGCTTTTGAATACATATGCTGGAAGGAGAGCTAATTATATATATATATATTAATTATTGCAACTGATTAACTATAATACAATCGAGTAGATTATCTTAGATGTCCGCTAACACAATATATTGCAACCGGTTTATACAACTATACGCAAGATCTTGATGGGCCACGCATATATTATGGCAATCATGGCAATTCCCACAAGTTGACTCTGCCAATCAACTTTTTTTCTTGGTGTACCTATAAACTTTGTTTATGCATGCATCAAAAGAGTTTAAGAAGGGGCCTGGTCTATCAAAATCCCAAACTTCAAAAAAGAAGGCCAATATTGGTCAACAAGACGCCCGAGTTTTCCAGACATGAAATTAAATCCCAACAATTTTTGTCAGCTATATGAATGTGGTAATGTTTTAGTGCCGCGATTCTTCCAATCATATGACCGCATAAATTGACTTGTCATACATCGATTACTGAGGACTGATCAAACGTGCTTCTTTCATGGACCAAAATTTGTGACGACTAGTGTCTGCGTTACTATGTATGTATCTTTGGAACCAAAAGAAAGTTAAAATATTTACAAATTATTTTTATAATGGGCCAATATTTGTAAAGCTACATAACGCAATAAAGCTATTCATATTTAAGTGTCGGGCTCATCACAAATATATATCACTAGACCAAATGCTAGTTGGTATTCATCTAAACTCTTACTCTCTGTATTGATCAATACAAGAATTCTTTAGTGAGGTATTTCTTAATCATTGGATCAAATTGATTAAATTAATCCAATAATTAAGAGATAAGATCTCACTTAAAAGCTATATATAAGACCTTCATTATGGACTCGTATTCAATATAATTCAAATTGTACTGTTTTTGGACAAGGGACAAGAACATGAAAATGCAAGGGAGAAAAAGAAAAGAACTTTAAAGCCTTCTTGGTCCAACCCAAACTCTCCAATTTAGATGTATCTGACCCAACTGCTACACAAACCCCCACAAGGGTCAAAACGCCCATTAGGTTTGCAAGTTGGGCTTTCTTTCTTAATTATGGGCCGAGCTGAAGACATCACGTGAACTCAAACATTTCTTTGGGACATTTCATAAATCTGACCTAATCAATCTCGCGGGCCTAGCGCGTCACATGTCCTATCACTACGTCATCATACAGATCCCGCCTGACCGTTGCAGCCGTTAAAAATCCGAAACACTGATCTGACGGCCCATGTTTAGTTTCCAAAATCAAATTAGGGTTTCCCCAAGCCCACAGGCGCGCCGACTCACATATATAAGCTATGCAGTTAACTCCTCAGCCGGTGCGGTGCAGTTTTTTACTCTGCCCTCCTCACCCCAAAAACCCAAAAAAAATAATTTTCAGTTTTCCCGTTCGTTTTGTATTTCCGTCGTACCGGTTCGAATTTCGGACCGTCTTATCCCCGATTTTTGCCCCCTCTCCTCGGTATCCTCAGAAAAAAACCAAAAAATCTGCCAGATTATCACTTCCGGTCCTTAGGTTTTTTTCAACTTTATCGCCGCCGGTCCATTGAACTTTCGTTTCTCGTTGTCTGTTATCTCTAGGGTTTATTATAACCCGAACAGAAAAATCTTTAAAAAGAGAACCAATTTGAAGTGAGGGTTTTGTGATTTTGGTGTGATGGCTCAGATTCAAGTTCAGCATCAGCCTCCGGTGACCGCACCGAACGGCGTCGCCGCCAACGCCGGTGGCGCTCCGGGCCAGTTCGTATCGACGTCGCTGTACGTTGGGGATCTGGACCAGAATGTGACCGACTCGCAGCTCTACGATCTGTTCAACCAGGTCGGCCAGGTCGTGTCGGTGAGGGTCTGCAGAGACCTGAGTACTCGCCGATCTCTCGGCTATGGCTACGTCAACTATAGCAACCCTCAAGATGGTTAGTCTTTCGCAAAAAATTCATTTTTTTAGCTTTTTATTTTTAGTTGATTTTTGCAATATTGTTGCCCTAAGTGTTTATATTAGCGTAAGTTGTTCGCTTTGCATGTTGAATCTTGCGTTATTGATATGAATACTGGACGAAATGAAAAATTATTGGTTGTTTATGGTTTGATTAGTGGAAATGAATTCTTGAATTCGACATTAGAGAATTTACATTGGTTGAACTTGGCAGTTCGAAGCTTTATGTTGACGAGTTTGATAAGTCGCACATTTAGGAGATGTTAATATTTTGGAAATTATGTTTATTATTTTTCCTATGGGATAGGTTAGTTTGTGTATTGATTATGCTGGAGGGGTTTGTGTGTGTGTTGTGTGGTGGCTTTTATTTTGAACTTGGACAAAATTTTATCTTTCTTTAAAAATTTATTTTATGTGTAACTTCACTAATGCATAAAGGGTTTATGCTCACGTCCCCCTGCTGCCTAATTGGTTATTGTTTATGCTGTATTTGATTTGATTTTTCTAACTACGCAGCTGCGAGGGCACTGGATGTTCTGAACTTCACTCCCCTGAACAACAAATCCATCAGGATTATGTATTCTCACCGGGACCCTAGTATTAGAAAGAGCGGAACCGGAAATATATTTATCAAGGTATCTATGTTTTCTTGTATAACGACTCAGATTCCTTTCCTTCCCATGAAGTTTGCTGTTGTTATGTCTATTTTGGTCTTATGCCTACTTTGTTCTTTTACATGAGTGCAGAATCTGGACAAGGCAATTGACCACAAAGCATTGCATGATACATTTTCTTCTTTCGGAAATATTCTTTCTTGCAAGATAGCCACTGATGGCACTGGCCAGTCAAAGGGATATGGTTTTGTGCAGTTTGATAGTGAAGAAGCTGCTCAGAGTGCAATAGATAAGTTAAATGGCATGCTTATTAATGATAAGCCAGTATTTGTGGGACACTTTCTTCGCAAGCAGGAGAGAGATGGCGCTTGGAATAAGACAAAATTCAATAATGTCTATGTGAAAAATATATCAGAATCTACAACAGAAGATGATTTGAAGAAAATTTTTGGTGAGCATGGACAAATTACCAGTGTTGTAGTGATGAGGGATGGGGATGGCAAGTCAAGGTGTTTTGGTTTTGTCAACTTTGAGGATCCAGATGCAGCTGCAAAGGCTGTTGACAATCTGAATGGAAAGAAATTCGATGAAAAGGAGTGGTATGTTGGGAAAGCCCAGAAAAAGTATGAGAGAGAACTTGAACTGAAGGAGAGATTTGAGCAGAGTATGAAGGAAGCAAGTGATAAATTTCAAGGTGTCAATTTGTATATCAAAAACTTGGACGATAGCATTAGTGATGAAAAATTGAAAGAATTATTCTCAGATTATGGTACAGTTACTTCATGCAAGGTCCGTGAACCTCTTTCTATTTCAGAGTTCCATTTAAAAATGTGGTGGCAGTGACCTGGAATAACATGGTTTTCTTCTCCTGATTTCACAGGTTATGCGGGATCCTGATGGAAATAGTAGAGGTTCTGGTTTTGTTGCCTTTTCAACTACTGAAGAAGCATCTCGAGCTGTATGTCTTTTAACTCAGTTGTTTTAAAATAATAAAATCAGAAGAACATGTCATCAGAAATTACAATTGATTTACCTCAACTATGTACTTCCAGCTTGCTGAGATGAATGGCAAAATGGTTGTTAGCAAACCTCTGTATGTTGCACTTGCCCAAAGGAAAGAAGAGAGAAGAGCAAGATTGCAAGTATGGTCTACTGGGAGTGTTACCAAATTACGATTGAACTTTTATGGTGTTCTTTCTTTTTATCCTTATGTTTGTATTTAATTTTTGACAGGCTCAGTTTTCTCAAATGAGGCCAGTCACCATGGCACCTTCTGTGGCTCCTCGTATGCCAATGTACCCTCCTGGTGCTCCAGGTCTAGGACAACAATTTTTGTATGGGCAGGCACCTCCATCGATAATTCCTCCACAAGTAATTATTTATTTCATTGTCTTTTTTAATATGGTTGATTTTCTTTATCAATTTTAATGAGTGTCTCAATAGTTTTGTTTGTAATTATGTAGGCTGGATTTGGTTACCAACAGCAACTTGTGCCTGGAATAAGGCCTGGTGGTGCTCCAATGCCAAACTTCTTTGTTCCAATGGTCCAGCAGGGTCCTCAGGGCCAACGCCCAGGAGGTCGACGTGGGGCAGGTCCTGTGCAACAAAACCAGCAGCCAGTCCCAATGATGCAGCAGCATGTCAGTCAAAGGATACGAGTTTCATCTTGATGTTTATATGTGATTTTCTTTTATTACATTTATTTATGTTCGCCTTTCTCTGTGTTTCAGATGCTTCCTAGGGGACGCGTGTATCGCTATCCACCTGGTCGCAACATGCAGGAAGTTCCATTTTCGGGAGTTCCCAGTGGTATGCTTTCGGTGCCATATGACATGGGTGGCATCCCAATGCGAGATGCTGCGGGAGGGCAGGGTGTTCCAGCCTTGGCCACAGCCCTTGCAAATGCTTCAACTGAGCAGCAAAGGACGGTAAGCACATTTCCTTTTTTTCTTTTTTTCTTTTTTTCTTTTTTGATCTACACCAGCCTTAGAGTTTGCACTTAGTGATTTGATTTATCTGTTATTGGGTGGACAGATGCTTGGTGAGGCTTTATATCCCCAAGTTGACCAGTTGGAGCACGAGTCAGCAGCTAAGGTGACAGGCATGCTTTTGGAGATGGACCAGACTGAAGTTTTGCATTTGCTCGAATCGCCGGAGGCTTTGAAGGCAAAAGTGGCAGAGGCCATGGAGGTCCTGAGAAATGTTGCCCAACAGCAGGCTAACAGCAGTGCCGATCAACTATCTTCATTGTCTCTGAATGACAACCTTGTCTCATAAATGAGAATTGTGGCATATCTTCATTGTCTCTGAATGACAACCTTGTCTCATAAATGAGAATTGTGGCATCTGGTGTTTCCTCGCTATGTGGGGAGTCTTTGGCAGAACTTTTCGTTTGATGTTGGAGTGATTGTAGCTTTTTCAAAATTAGAACCTAGACTTAATTTCCTCCTGCTCCTGCAATTTTTGTTTTGTTTTTGGTTTTTTGGTTGTGTAGGATTTTTACCGTTTGTTACGTTTGGCTTGCATCATGGATTCATGGTTTTGGTTAATTTAACAACTTTAGACATTTTCTTAATTTTTTTTTGGTAGTCCTTTCTTATTTTAGTCGTTTTTTTTTTTCAAATTTAAATTTCACCTATAGTCTTTTTAGCCTTTCACTATTTATAAGATTCATTCTGATAATATTCCGAACTCTATTACGACTTGTGGAATGGATGGGTCTAAAATAATGGAAATGAATTGGCGAGTCGAATAGAACTTGGAGGTGTCTTTGGCCGGAAATAAAAGCGCGCTTTGAATGTGACAAGGAATTCTGATTCTTTGTCAATCTTTTAACCACATTATTAACCAATTTGTAGAAGAAAGTGCTGCAAATTCTTGGATGTTGCCATTGTCCACAAATCTCTAAACCCATCCAATACGTATCCGATATGCCATGTGGCGTATCATAGACTTTTCTTGTCTCTTGACTTTACATACTTTTCTGGCCTGTTCGCGTTACGCTACGGCTTCGAGAGGCTAGCTATTAAGACTTAGAATAAAGACCTTGCCTTTCGGGCGATTCAGACGGCAACTAAAAAAGGAGGAAGAAGGAAGAGAAGGAAGAAGGAAGAGAGAGAACCCACCAGCAATCGCCGTGGCACCCATCGCCATCGCCATCTCATATTCATTTAGTTGGGTGGGTTTCATACGCAGCTCCAGGTTTTCTTCTTATTCTTTTAATAAGCTACTGTGTTGTTAATTAGATAATAGGTATATGGGTAATATTGGGGTGGGGATGGCTGTATATATTCTTTAATATGCTGTATAGATGCCTATTGGCTAGTAGTCTACTAATTGTTTTGTGTAAGTATTAAATTATTAATTGTGCGTTTTTTTAATTATCAAGCTTCATTGGATTCACAGGAAATGTATAGTGTGGGTAATAGTTCTAGCTTCTGATGATGGGAATACTAGTAATAATAATGGGGAGAATGAGGATGAAATATCAATTTTTCTATTTATATTATTTTAATCTTTTTTTTTTTTTGGGGTCTAAACCACGAGGTGGTCCTAGATGGGCCCCAACTATGGGTGGCACCTTTAAGCCTTAATCACAACCCAGACTAATCCCCGCTCACACCGGGTCGGCCCGTAAAGGGTAAAGTGCTGGCCAAAGTGGTGACTCCATACGAGAGCAGGGATCGAACCCCTGACATCTCTTAAGGAATGAGAGTGCCGAACTACTCACACCAACCACCTTGGTTAGGTCAAGTCATTTTGATTAGCCTAAACAACATATAAAGGTGAATGAGATATACTGGATGGATGGTTGCAACAAAGGGCGGAGTAAGTCAACTATGAAAATAGGGTAATTACAAGCAAGAACCCTATAACCCTAGCCCTACTCTAATGTAATTTGGATCAAAACCCTAACTAAATAAAAAAAGTTCAAAATTTCAGAGAAAAATTTAAGAGAGAGAGAGATCATGCGTCACTAATATTAGTCTTCGGGTCGTTGAGGAACTAGTTCTCGGTGATCTTCAATTCGGCAACGTTCACTTCCGGCTAGGAAGTAGACAACGCCCCATTTTTCTTCCTTGGCTTCTCGGGAGGGTTGTCCTCCTCGTCGGCCCAACGCTTTTACTATGGTTTCGCATGCGTCGTTTGGTGCCGTTGCTGTTTCGGTGATAGCAGTGGTGGAAACGTCAGTCTCGACCATGTGGTGGTGAGGGTGGCTTTGGGTTATGAAGTTAGGGGAGGGAGAGTTCAAGGGAGAGAGCTGGAGATGAAACATTTTTATGTATTAATTTTTCCAATTTTTATATATTTTTTAACTAGACAAGTAATTATATTATTATATTATATATTTTATTCCATTTAAGCAAAAAAGTGGGCCATTTACATGACACATCATCATTTATGACAAAAAGACTAAAACAACCATGTCACATCATCAAAACTGACAGAGTTATTAATCGAGATAACGATAGGGGGTAAAGTGGAACATGAAACCACGGTCAAGGGGGTTAAGTGGGCCACTTTAACTTTCGGGGGGTAAAGTGAGATTTCACTGAAGTTTCAGGGGGCACTACAGCAAATAAGCCTAATAAAAACAAAAGAAATCTTATATTCAAAATCTTACCTATTGGCCTTCAACCTGCCCTTGTGGTTAAGTGCGCTTGCACTAACTCCTAGTGGTCTTGGGTTCGAAGGTTGGTAACACATTCTCAACAAAACCCAAAATCTTACCTACCTATCTTTACAAAGTTGGAGTGGAGGATAGATGATACATATATTCGTTGGTAGTGGAGGATAGAGATTAGAATTTGATGAACAGTTCCACGGTATTTGTCATGTTGTTAAGATTAGAATTTTAATTACAAATGGGAAATTTTGATTGATGAGGTTATATAAAGGTGAATGGGAAATAAAACAATTATTAAAATCTTAAAATAATACAGATTCAATTCAACAAACCCCTAAACAACATAGTTTTATTAGCCAAACTCGGTCAAGTTATTTTGATTAATTCTATTTTCAATGTAATAGATTGTTGGCTAGTGAGATATACTGGATGGATGGTTGCAACAAAGGGCGGGGTAAGTAAACTATGAAAATAGGATAATTAAAAGCGAGAAAGATATGACTTTTGCTATCCTTTTGTAGTTTTGTTTGATTTGGTAAAAGGAAAGGATCCGTACGAGAGCAGGGATCGAACCCCTGACCTCTCTTAAGGAATGAGAGTGCCGAATTACTCACACCAACCACCTTGGTTGATTAATTCTATTTTCAATGTAATAGATTGTTGACTAGTGAGATATACTGGATGGATGGTTGCAACAAAGGGCGGGGTAAGTAAACTATGAAAATAGGATAATTAAAAGCGAGAAAGATATGACTTTTGCTATCCTTTTGTAGTTTTGTTTGATTTGGTAAAAGGAAAGGAGCAGGAAAGAGCATATACGTAAAAAAGACAAAAGAAATCTTATATTCAAATTCTTACCTACCCACCTTTACAAAGTTAGTGGAGGGTAGAGATAGATGATGCATATATTAGTTGGTAGTTGGTACTTTGTTTCCTTTGGACCAGTATGTTCAAAGTTGGAGACTGAGTCTTCTCATCTTTGCATATATTACGGGGGCGTACACTGCTGCTGGGGCAAATTAACACTTGCACTAAACAATTAATATATCCAGGAACTGCAGCCTGCAACGGACCCTTGATCACCACGTCTGCAACCGCATATAAAACCAGACCAGCTAAGCAGAGATGGAAATGTCAAGAAATTGAAATGGCTCACTGCGAGTGAGTTTTTTTTCTTTCTGTAAAAATGAATTCCCCAAGTGTCAAATACATTTCAGAATGCTTTGTCCAGCCACACCATGCCTCAGAAGAATCAAAGCAGCCCTTCTACTTGACCCCCGGTGATCTGGCCATGCTCTCAGTGCACTATATTCAAAAGGGCCTTCTCTTTTCCAAACCACCAGAAGCAAAACTGGGACAGGAGGATTTCACCAATTCTCTGTTGGAAAGACTCAAACACTCTCTTTCCATTGCACTTGTTCATTTCTACCCATTGGCAGGTCGCTTTGTGACCGAGAAGAACGAAGACCCGCCTTTGTATTTGGTATATGTAGATTGCAACAACAGCCCTGGAGCCAAATTCATATATGCAACTCTGGACATGTCAATTTCTGACATTCTTTCACCAACTGATGTGCCTTTGGTGGTTCAATCATTTTTTGATCATGACAGGGCGGTCAACCATGATGGGCACACTATGTCCTTGCTAACCATTCAGGTCACAGAGCTGGTAGATGGCATTTTCATAGGGCTTTCCATGAATCACTGTCTTGGTGATGGAACCTCTTACTGGCATTTCTTCAACATTTGGTCTGAGATCTTTCAAGCACAAGCACAAGGAGATCATAATAATTTTGTACCCAATATCTCAAGACCACCAGTCCTCAAGCGCTGGTTTCCAGATGGTCATGGCCCAATTATCAACCTCCCTTTCAAACACTCGGATGAGTTCATTGGCAGATATGAAGCTCCCAAACTCAGGGAGAGAATGTTTCACTTCTCCTCGGAATCCATAGCCAAACTCAAAGCAAAGGCCAATGCAGAGTCTAATACCACCAAAATCTCTTCCTTCCAGTCCTTGTCTGCCCTGATGTGGAGGTGTATTACTCGTGCGCGTGGTTTACCCCGAGATCAAGGAACCAGCTGCAGGCATGTTTCCTTCAATACATTCCACTCAGAATTCCCAAGTTGTATTCTGTTTCTTGATATTTCATTAACATCGATATTTAATACCTTGGTTGCAGGTTGGCTGCGAATAACAGAGGAAGATTAGAGCCACCATTGTCTGGAGATTATTTTGGGAACTCAATTCACCCGATTAGATCAGAAATTGTCTCAGCTGGTGAGTTGCTTGAACATGGGCTTGGATGGGCAGCGTGGAAGTTGCACGAAGCTGTAGTTAACCACAATGACAAATTCATAAGGGAACTTGTTGATGGCTGGCTGAAGTCTCCAGCTGTGTACCAAGTGAGTTTCTTTGATCCACTCAGTGTGATGATGGGGAGTTCTCCAAGGTTCAACATGTATGGAAATCAGTTTGGAATGGGAAAAGCACTAGCGCTTAGAAGTGGTTATGCACATAAGTTTAGCGGCAAAGTGTCATCGTACGAAGGGCATGAAGAAGGAAGCATAGACTTGGAGGTGTGTCTTCCACCTGATGCAATGAGTGCTCTTGAATGTGACAGTGAGTTCATGGAAGCTGCCTCTGTACCCCGTTATTAGTGACAAGTGATTATATGAATAAGGATCATGCAATCTGCACAATGTTTAAGTAGAGTTAAGAATGATAGAAAGGTGTGTGGAAGGAAGAGATAAAAAATGAAACAGAAAAAGAATATTGCATTAATAAGTACTTATTTCAAAAGATATGAATAAGGTGTATATGGAATTACACATAAATGTATTGTTATGAGCAACTAGTCACTAGATACAATGGATGATTGTGTCACGTTTGTTTATAATTATCCACATAATAATAATATAGAGGCAAAAGCCAAAGTGGCATGCAACTAGATACAATGGATGATTGTGTCACGTTTGTTTATAATTATCCACATAATAATAATATAGAGGCAAAAGCCAAAGTGGCAAGCATGTGGTTGCCTGGCATGTGGTTGCGTGATGGACTTTTCATTTAACCGGTGACTGAGCCCTCATCGATGATAATTAACATAGAAACTACACAATCATAAATTCAGGATCAAGAACCTGCATACAAACCCAGAGCAGCTGCTAAGCAAAGAGGAAATACAAAGAAAATCCACTCAGGCAAATCAGACAATGAGTTCCCAGAGTGTAAAACACATCTCAGAGTGCTTTGTCCGGCCACAGCATGCTTTAGATGAATCAAAGCAGCCCTTGTACTTGGCACCCACCGATCTTCCCATGCTCTCTGCCCACTATATCCAAAAAGGTCTTCTTTTTGCCCAGCCTCCAGAAGCCATGAATGATCACAAGCAGGCAGATTTCATTACTGCTCTGCTGGAAAAGCTCAAGCACTCTCTCTCCCTGGCCCTTGTTCATTTCTACCCACTTGCAGGTCGCCTTGCAACAAAGAAAGAAGAAAACCCACCTCTCTATTTGGTTTATATAGATTGCAACAACAGCCCTGGAGCAAAATTCATCTATGCAACTCTAGACATGTCCATCTCCGACATCCTTTCACCAACTGATGTGCCTTTGGTTGTTCAGTCGTTTTTTGACCATGACAGAGCAGTCAACCATGACGGGCACACCATGTCTTTGCTAACAGCTCAGGTCACGGAGCTGGTGGATGGTATCTTCATAGGGCTTTCCATGAACCACTGCCTTGCTGATGGTACCTCTTACTGGCATTTCTTCAACACTTGGTCTGAAATCTTTCAGGCACAAACACAAACACATGGCAATCAAAACAATAATATCATACCCAATATCTCAAGACCACCAGTCCTCAAGCGGTGGTTTCCAGAAGGTCATGATCCAATCATCAGCCTCCCTTACACGCACCCAGATGAGTTCATTGGCAGATTTGAAGCTCCCAAACTCAGAGAGAGAATCTTTCACTTCTCCTCAGAAGCCTTAGCCAAACTCAAAGCAAAGGCCAATGCAGAGGCTAACACAACCAAAATCTCTTCCTTCCAGTCCTTGTCTGCCCTTCTCTGGCGCTGCATTACCCGGATGCGGCGTCTACCTCCGAGCCAGTCAACCAGCTGCAGGTATGATCTTATCCTCCAAATTATAATACATTTCACTTTGAATTTCCATCAATATTTGTTAATATTGATATTTAACACATACAATTACAGGTTGGCTGCGAATAACAGAGCAAGATTAGACCCGCCGTTGTCTGGAGATTACTTTGGGAACTCAATTCACCCGATCAAATCAGAAGTTGTGACCGCAGGTGAATTGCTTGAACATGGGCTTGGATGGGCAGCGTGGAAATTGCATGAGGCTGTCGTTAACCTCGATGACAAGTCGATACGAGAGTTCATTGATGCTTGGTTGCAGTCTCGAATAGTCTACCAAATAGGCCAGTTTTTCGATCCGCACAGTGTGATGATGGGAAGCTCCCCATGGTTCAACATGTACGGAAACGAATTTGGAATGGGAAAAGCATTGGCACTTCGAAGCGGATATGCAAATAAGTTTAGCGGCAAAGTGTCATCTTACCCGGGACGCGAAAGAGGAAGCATAGACTTGGAGGTTTGTCTTGTACCTGATGTAATGGGTGCTATTGAATGTGACCATGAGTTCATGGAAGCTGCCTCTGTTACCCATTATTAGTTTCAAATTGTTGTATGCAAATCTTGCGTAGAGGAGAAGCAACACCTATCGACTCAAAACCTTAAAGTATAGCCTTCAATTTCATGGTGTCAATTTTTTTTTCTTAAGAAAATATAAAGCATAATAGAAAAGATAAAGAAACGTTATTATTCCAGATCTCTGTGCGTTGAAAAACTCAGGCGACCGACTGTCTCTAGCAAAATCGTTTAACATTTGCAGTACCCTTAAGTAGTGTGAAAGCCAGAGCTGCTTAAGCCTTCTCTTTGCCAAACCTCAAGAAGCCATGAATGATCATCAGAAGGCAGATTTCACCAGTGCTCTGCTGGACAAGCTCAAGCACTCTCTCTCCCTGTCCCTTGTTCATTTCTACCCACTTGCAGGTCGCCTTGCAACCAAGAAAGAAGAAAGCCCACCTCCCTATTTGGTTTATGTAGATTGCAACAACAGCCCTGGAGCAAGATTCGTCTATGCAACTCTGGACATGTCAATCTCTGACATCCTTTCACCAACTGATGTCCCATTAGTGGTTCAGTCGTTCTTTGACCATGACAGAGCAGTCAACCATGACGGCCACACCATGTCTTTGCTAACAGCTCAGGTCACAGAATTGGTGGACGGCATCTTCATAGGGCTTTCCATGAACCACTGCCTTGGCGATGGGACTTCTTACTGGCATTTCTTCAATACTTGTCTGAAAACTTTCAGGCAAAAACACAAACACCTGCCAGTCGTACCATCATACCCACCATCTCACGCCCACCAGTCCTCAAGCGCTGGTTTCCAGAAGGTCACGGCCCAATCATCAGCCTCCTTCACTCACCCAGATGAGTTCATTGATATATTTGAAGCTCCCGAACTCAGAGAGAGAGTTTTCCACCTCTCCTCAGAAGCCATAGCCAAACTCAAAGCAAAGGCCAATGCAGACTGTAAAACCACCCAAATCTCTTCCTTCCAGTCCCTGTCCGCCCTTCTCTGGAGCTGCATCACTCGGGCGCGGCGTCTACCTCCAAGCCAGCCAACCATCTGCAGGCTGGCGGCGAACAACCGGCCGAACCATTGACGGGAGATTACTGTTATAAAAAATATATACAAAATATAGTTTTTCTTTTCCATAAAGACAAACACAAAGCATTATATTATAAATAATGTTATAATAAATAAATAAGAAAGCTTTTAAGGTATAATGAAATTGAAGAAAACAAAATAATAGGTAAGTAAAAGGAAAATAAATAATAAGTAAGAAGGTGAGTTTGGTACGGTGAAGCACGTCAAAGACGCTGTCCTAAAGCCTTTGTAGCCTCCCTACGTGCAGGTACTGACGGTCTACAAGACTCCAAGATACGACCCCTTGTACACAAACTCAAGATCCGCTATGAGCACGTTCATAGACGGATATGGGTATCCAAGTCACAGAACCATTGCCAAAATAATAATATAAAGTAGAGAATATATATAAAAGTAGGTGATGATGGCGAGCTCGCCGAGGTTCAACATGTACGGTAATGAATTTGGGATGGGGAAAGCTTTGGCGCTTCGAAGCGGTTACGCGAACAAGTTCAGTGGGCAAGTGTCGTCGTACGAAGGTCGCGAAAGAGGAAGCATAGACTTGGAGGTGTGTCTTCCAGCCGATGCCATGAGCGCTCTTGAATGTGATATGGAGTTCATGGAATCGGCCTCTGTGCCTCGTTTTTTGCTGCTCATTAAGGATGGATTATGTTATTAATCCATCGATCATCGTGATGTATGAATAAACTGGAGCTCCTGTGTCCAGTCCTTCCAAATTGGACACTCAATTCGCATCATCTATAGCACACAGGAGAGAGATTTCACAACTGAAAAACCTCATTTTCTAGGCCTGGGCACGGTTCGGGTCGGGTCCAGATTTGGCCGACCCGTGGAGCTGAACCGATGGTGACTTCGGTTCTCGGATCGGGGCGGGGCCCGGGGAAAACC